CTTTCTTTCTTTCTTTCTTTCTTTCTTTCTTTCTTTCTTTCTTTCTTTCTTTCTTTCTTGGGGGTGGGGAGATGGATGGCAGTGCTACATAAAAAGTGAATAAGCCTTATGCTTAAGGTGTTAAAATGGGCAGTTCTGCTTCTCGGCTTAAGCAATTTTGGGGATGTTTTATAACTGAGCTTTGATGTTTAAGTTTTTGCAAGTATAATTGCTGCTGAAATCTACTGCACGTTTTTGGAAACAATATGCTAGTTATAAAAATATTAAGAGACTGCAGTTTTCAATTGAATGGGAAATTTGTTCTTTAATACTCTGAAGGTCCATTTTAGTCTTGATATCACTCTGCCAACAAAAGTACGTATAGTCAAGGCTATGGTTTTCCCAATTGCAATGTATGGCTGTGAAAATTGGACCTTAACAAAGGCTGAGCGCCAAAGAATTGAGGCCTTTGAACTATGGTGTTGGAGAAGACTCCTGTGGGTCCCTTGGACTGCAAGGTGATCAAACCTGTCAATCCTAGGGGAGATCAATCCTGACAGCTCTTTAGAAGGCCAGATCTTGAAGACGAAACTCAAATATTTTGTCCACCTAATGAGAAGGAAGGACTCACTGGAGAAGAGCCTAATGCTGGGAACAATTGAGGGCAAAAGAAGAATGAGACGACAGACAATGAGGTGGCTGGATGGAGTCACTGAAGCAGTAGGCAACAGCTTAAATAGGCTCCAGGTAGAAGACAGGAAGGCCTGTTGGAATATTGTCTATGGGGTTGTGATGGGCCGGACACGACTTTGCAACTAAGAACAAAATTTTGATCCTCTGGTGGCAAGTCTGCTATCCGTGTTTCTCTTTAATTCAAAACATTGTTTTATAACTTGTATTGTTCTAGTAACAAGTGAGCAGCTTATGAAAAGAAAAATAATAATAAAAATAATAAAAGGCGGTAAGTCTGGTATAAAGTTGACTTAAATTTAGAATGGATTACAAATGCTAAAGGCCATTGTTTAGTTTTCATGAGCAGTTGGATAAGTCCACTGAATTTCTTTTATGTGAACAATTTATTTCTTTTTGTTAAATACCTACAAAATAAGACATGTCCAGCAGAGATTTGCAAGTCAGATGATTGTCCACAACACATTAAGATCTTGTATTCCAATTCTAGTTTTTAATAGGGTCTATAAACTGCTTGACTTTATTCGGGATTTAATTAAGTTTGGGAGAACAGTAAATTGTAGCTTATGGGACAACGTGACTTAAACCCGTTTTACTTATTTTGACCTTTTGTTATTCCATGCAACTCTTTTAAAGTGACTGTGGTCAACATCAAGAAAGAATTGCATATAAATTGTGAATTTTAAAGTAGCAGCCCGATATAGCTATTTATTAATCAAGCATTAGTTATGGTAGTTAAGCATTTAGGGATAATAAAATGTAAATGTGCTTTTGGTGTAAACTATGTTACTTGAAAATATATTCTTGAAGAAAAATGGTTGCAGTAAGATTATAGGGAATATTAATCATGTGTATTTGCATATTTTACAGAAGGTTATGTAGATGTTGCTAAAATATACAACAATTTAAGGAAGTGTTTTTATGAATAATAAAATGAAATGAAAAAAACAAAAACAAAGCAAGGCTTAATTTGATCACTATAATGAAAAGAACAACTTCTTTATGGACACCTTGGTTGCTTTATTTATTTTTACTATTGATAGTAATGGTTACTATCTTAAAAAGATGGCAAAGAATAAATACAGAATAACGGAGTTGGAAGGGAATTTAGAGGTCTTCTACTCCAGCCCCCTGCTCAAACAAGAGACCCTACCATTTCAGATAAGTGGTGGTCCAAAGTCTTTTAAAAAACTTACAGTGAGGACAACTTCTGAAGGCAAGTCATTCCTCTGATTAATTGTTCTAATAATCAGAAAATTTTTCCTTAGTTCTAATTGGTTGTCTCCTTGATTAATTTCCATCCATTGCTTCTTGCCCTGCCTTCAGGAGGTTTGGAGAATAGCTTGACCTTCTCTTCTTTGTAACAGCTTAGGAACACTGCTATCAAATCATCCCTAG